GCACCTTTTTGACTCGAACAAATAGATCAAAGCAATTGACAATTAAAATGCGTTCAACATGGAATCTACATCCAGATTCGATAACAGATTATCCCAGCAGAAGGCACCCAAATAATTGTTTATTAATACAAGTTCGACAGATTTGAAATCATGTTAATAGCAATCGGCTCTATTAGTACCATAACAGGATGTGATGTGTAACATGATTGCGGGATAGGCAGGTCAAAGCAAATGGGTGGATGATTATTGCCAATGGGAACCAGAGGATCACGATAATTAACGCTAAGTGTTTTGTGGGTCAGAACTGAATCGAGAAAAACTGCATTTGCATTATAAATAAAATTATTCTGAAAAAGGTTATGAAAAGCACAAAGATCTGAGATTGTAGCAATTTTCTGAATTACTTGAGGTGAGACGTAAGTATCAACGGAAAGAATACCCACTGCACATGTCCTCGTTAGTCCATCTGGCCTTTGGCAGGTTGAAGTCACCAGCTATACACAGTTCCAGCTTCTGGATACTCCTCAGAGATCATGTCAACTGTATCGCCAACCATTGAGTAGTGTTCAAATTTAGAATCTGGAGGTAGGTACACACAGGTAAGAATGCTCTTTAGTTTTGGGTAGCGAATGGTTACCTACATAAACTTGCTCAAGAGGTGCAGTAGTTGAAAGAGAACTGCAGAGGACTGCCCTATGTATGGCCAACAAAACTCCACCCAAACATTTCTTGTTGCTTGTTTCACCCGTTATGTAAAAACGTCATAGCTAAACGGTTGTATATAAAGGTATTGTTTGCCCAGCGGTTCTGAGTCTACGGAAGGAATTCGGACGTAAATGTGCGATGTTCCCACGTTTAATTATAAAAACGCGAAAGTACTAGGCATGAAGTATAGTTCATTTGAAAATTCATTTTTTAATAACAAAATGTAGATAACAATAAAACGCTAAATATTTCAACGTGGTTGTTAGATCTATGCTTATTTTGATACCTAACTGATTTCTTCAATTTTGTCTATTGTAAAAAATAAACATTTTCTTAAGAATCCATCAGCTTTTAACAATTTGGCAAGGATCCGGCCTGGATGAACCTGATTGGTGGAGTTTTTGGCAGGATTGCCGTTGCCACGGGAAATCATGCAAATGTCAGTGGGCTAACGTCAGCTTACGTCTCGCTATTGGCCAGGACTCTTGTCATTTTATCCTCCCATCTTGGAATATCGATTTATATTGAAATATCCAGTGGCGGCGGTTTGGTCATTGTCGATTTTCGTGTACGAATTGCAATACGATAACACTTCCAAAAAGTTTCGCACGCAACTGGGTATTTTATGAATGAAATCAGCCATTTTTTTTTACAACTGCATTCCCCTTACCGTTGCCCCGTAGACATAGAGTCGCTGGGCAGACATTGGTTTATGATATTAATTGTTCCATAGATGCATTGCATTGCCAACAAACAAAAAATAAGCTGAGTTTAGGTTTCCACAGATTATTACCCAACAGATTTCTAGATAAGTACCTACCTTAGGCAGTTCCAAAATTTGTCTTTTTTTTCTGAAAAAATAAAAGCCTCAACTTTGAGGACGCCGCATCTATTATAACTAGAAAAGATCGGATCATGGGTACCTACCTGAATGTTTACCTATTTCTAATGAAACGCCACTGTTTTTGTTTATGAAATAATTGAAATTCAACCAAATTTCAATTTTCAGGTCCTGCCTGGGATTATAATAAATAGACTCAATACTGATCAAAAATCCGAATAAATGAATACTGATAATTTTAACGTTTTTTTATGCAGTTCTATTTCTGGAATGTTTAGTAAGTAGGTAGGTACCTATATATGTAAAGTGTGTTTTTTTTTTAAAGATAAAATTCAAAATGACATTATGTTGGCAATACAATGTAAAATTGTCAATGCTTTCAAATTTATTATGTAGAAAAGGCTTGTGTTGCCAACATAGTTACTAAATTTTTGACTTGGGGAATTATCTTTAAAAAAAAAAACAGATTTTACCTACATCGAGTCCCATTCTGTTTTGATGGTTTCATTTAAACTAAACTAACTGGTCCGTTAAAATGAAAACCATTAAATAGAAAGCAATACGACAATGTACAGTTACTGCAACCAACACTCCAACCTCCATCGACCTACCAATCTTGAATTTCTATCTAGTCTAGCACGCTTTTTATAGATCATTCCACACATTCTTCTCTGTCATAAATTTCAACATAGATAAGACTTTAATATGTGTATAAATAATAATAGCAACTTTGTTTATTGAATAATGTAGATAAAAATGATAAAAACAAGGATGTCGAAAAACTCTTGAGTCATCGTCAGAGTGGAATTATATTTTGAGATATGATAAGGGAAAAGTACCAACACAACACATAAAATTTGATGGTGTTTTATGAAAAGTCGCAAAAAAGAATAGGCATAATACCTATCTAATGGCATAATACAATGTTTTTTTTTTAATGGGATCTTAAATTCAACTTATGTTACATAGGGTGTACCATTTAAAACGAAACAGGCTTAATATCTGATGCCACGTTTAATTTTGAAAAAATCGCTCAAAGAGGGAAGTTTTCTGTAACCATTTTTAGCACTTCAACTATAACCCTCTAGGCGGGGAGGGATCAACCTTCACTATTTCAAATGGAACAAGGGGTCGAGTGATACCTTTTTCAAAAGAGCGTTCAATGCTCTTTCATTTGATGTCATTTGAAAAAAAATTGAACGCTCTTTTAAAACAGGTATCACTCGTCCCCCTGTTCCATTTGGAATGGTAAGGGTTGGTCCCACACCCCCTACCTAGAGGGTCAAGTTAGTACTTAAAATGTTTCAAACACTCATACAATCAAATTACGTGTACGAGCGATTTTAAAAAAAATATAAGTGACATCAGATATCTAGCCTGTTTCGTTTTAAATGGTATACCCTGTATGTTATATATAGATAAGTTTTCAGTATTTTCAGTAATCCACTTTGCATTTCGCAGTGTGAAGTGTCCAAACCCCTATTCTAAGTCTTAGATGAAATTTCTTGTAGTTGTTTCGCTTATCCCAGAAGTACCTAGGGGAAAGTTGGGTAACATTGAGACACGGGTAACAGTGAGACATTCAAAATATTAGCTTTTTTTTCACTTTTTAAAGAGGTGTCGCCGCAATAAGACATTAATGATGTCTTAAGAGAAGTATCGGTTCTATTTTCAACCATCTTCCATTTTTAGTTTGGTCTGCAACGCGGAAGGGGGTACAACCTTCCGGTTATTTTTTTTTGTCAACGAACTTTTTCGGCGAAATTTGAAAAAACGGTGATTTTTTCTATTACGCATAGTCTTTAAGTGATATAAGGGAACCTTTCTGCTGTTAATTGGATTTATTAACAGTAAATTAAAATCAAAGGGGGACTAAAAAATGGCATTTTATTTTTCAAAGTAACTTGGGTATGAATGAGACATGTTTAGATGGGTAACACTGAGACTATGTAGTTCTAGTAGAATTTCCAACTGAAACATTAAAGGAAAAAAATCTACCTATCACATAGGAAAATTGTTATCAGAAATCGATAGTGATAACAAAAATGATTATAAATTATCATTTTTAAGGAAAAGTGATAAAAAGGAGGGATTTTTGTTTCCCCAAATGTCCAGATTTTAGAGATATTGCCACTGGTTTCTAAAAGAGATATTAAGATGATTTTGCCAAAACTAGTGAATTACGGAAAGACTGAAATCGATCCTACCATGGCTTTGAAACCTTGTCTGGGTCATTTGTAGAAGTTTGTTTCAGTTTATTCAAGTAATTATTTCTCATTTGATATAGTGTCTCATTGAACCCCCTGCATGGGTATCAATGAGACAAATGTCATGATAACTGTTTATGTCAAATATTCTCTTTGTAAGTGACTATAGAGTCAAAAACATAATAAATTTCTAACTTAGATTTATTCTTGAGTGTTACTGAAAAAAAAAATATCCATATTTTAAACGTTTATGGTAAAATATTTTCATTAGAAAAAAAAGTGTCTCAGTGTTACCCAGTTTCCCCTACCTATCAATGACCTCTAGAAAAATATTTTCTTGTGCACTTAGATCATTAGGTTATAAGACACAATAATTGTGATGCTACAATAACTAGGTACTTACCTACCTACCTACCTAAAAATAGGGTTGTGAATAACTGGGAATCAGTCAATCAATAGTTTTTTATGTAACCCTATTTACAACGCTATTGATTGACCAATTCCCAGTTATTCACAACCCTATCAATTATCAGCGGTCGTTTTCCATAAAAATAACAACCTTATCTTAATTTTACACAATAAATTAATGGTGACTTCTTGCGCCTTATCAACCATATAATAATCATATTTATATAGCCTTTAAAGTTGATCTCATTAATCTCATTTGCATGTTAATGATTAGGTACCTGATTATTTGCGCCAAAAATAAAAACATAAAATAACTGAAAATGTTGTTGAGCATAATTTAAGAAAAATCTGACTCGGGTAAATAGGTAACATCTACAAAAGAAAAGGTGTACCTTCATAATATTACTACAACTACAAAAAATAAGATGATTTTTTATTATGTAACTTATTAGTGTGCTAGGTATATGTAAGTAGGTAGGGTATAGCTTTTTTTCAAATTGAATGATTTTAGGTAGGTACCCAGTTTTTGATTCATTTCAATTGGAAGAGTAGGTACCTATGGTATGAAACCACGACTCGTTAGCTTCAATGCAATTTTAATACATGAATTTCAATAATAAGTTGCCACGTTGTTATTTTTATGTCTCATAGTCAGTGAAACACTAACTAATATTTACCTTGCTGTTCTTAATTAGTCATTAGCTTAAGTACCTATGTAAAGAAACAAGTACCTAATTGTACCTACCTACCTCAAAGAAACAAATAACTATTACAGTAAAAAATGGTACTAGAAAAATCTTTTTAAAGGCCAAATCAATTAAATACAAATCATTACTCACCAGTGAAAGGTTCAAATTAGTTCGAGCGGAAAAAATGTATTCAACAACACTACAAAATTCTAATGCCGGCCGGCCCCAGAAAGTCCATGGGTTTTATATAGACAGGAAATCCCACTCCTCGCCCCCCTTGATAGTCCTACTGTAAGGTCTGTTCCAACGCGTCCTAAACGATCCAACGAGACCAGTAATATTAGTGGCACAAGCATAAAATCGAAACAGGAAATTAAAAATTGAAGGTTTGTTGGCTCGTTGGGAACACAGCCGTAATCAACTTGTTTATGATGGGAAGCCTCTGGAATGTTCTATTATAACTTGTATACGTTGAAAATAAACATTAGTAATTTATACTAGTGACAATAATAATTATTATTAATATAAATTAGTTTTTATCAGTAGGGCGTTTTATTATGGTTTTTTTTTTTATTTAGTAACAAATCACAGAAAATGTACTAAGTATTTTTTTTTTATTACTTATTAATCTATCAATCACATATAATACAATCAATATCATCCTGATCAATATTAATAACTAAATCATCCGATTCCTCTAGAGACTTGGGACTCTTAGCTTTTCCAGGTGTAATAATAATATTTTCCAAAACAGTTATGCCACTAGAGCTGCTACTAGTACCCATTTCCACAGCGACATCCTGCTTGAAACTTTGCAATTTATTTTTGAACAATTTCAGTCTCTTATTTTTGTGTATTTTCTTTTGCTCTACTTTCTCCTTGTGTGCTTCTTCAGCTTTTTGAAGTTCAAGTTCATTGACTGGAACTGGTGGTTGGCTTTTTATGAATTCTTCGACTGCTTCTTCAATTTTACTAACTTGTGCTGTCTTATTGGTTTCCTTGTCTGTAATTTTATCATTCTCATTTGTTTCATTGTCTGTAGTTTTATCATTCTCATTTTTTTCTTCCATTTTGTCTTCCTCTCCATTATCTTTATTATTTTGCTTGCTTTTACATTGTTTTCTGCGCTGTTCACGCTCTCTTACAACTTCTAAAGTATCATCACTGTCAGAATCAGAATAATCACTTTGAGTAGATACATTTTCTTTCTCATTGGAAACAGATTCTTTAATAGTATTGTCAGATATTCCTTCTTTGTCTGCATCACTTTTTTCCTGATTATTTTGTTGTTCAACTTCATGATTCTCTTGTGATGATTCATCAACATTAGAAATAGATTCTGCTACAATAGTTTGATGATCTTTACTAGAGCCAGCTTTTTCTTGTTCGTTTTCTGAGTCACTAGACGTTATAATAATTTCAACTTCTTTTGGAATTTCTATGATAATTTCTTCATCGTCATTGTCCTCGGTTGGATTGCCATTTTCCTTTTGGGCTGCCATCTCTTCCCGCTTTTTCTTATTTTCCAGTTCTAGCTGAGACTTTATGGCTCTGGCTCTAGCTTGAAGCTCTAACAGTTCCAAGACGCTCATTAAATTTTCCTCGCCAATGGTTTCTTTTTCTTTGGAAGTTATGTTTTCTTTGCGACTCAATTTATCTTTAATTTTCTCAATATCTTTAGTTTTTTCTTTGTCTGGTCTCTCTTTTTTGATTTTTTTGGATTTATCTTTAGCTTCCTGCTTGATTCTCCTTCTCCTATGTTTTCCCTTTCTTTTGTCAGTTTCATCATCTAAAATTAATTGATAAAAGTGGATGTTTTACATCAAATTAGTGAGTAATACCTGAAATCACAACAAAATCGTCCTCACTAATATCATCAAGTGATATAACATCAACTGATGGTTGATCTTCGTCAGTACTACTTTCTTCGTCTAGGACTTTTCCTGCAAAAATGTATTTCAGCCTTTTGCTTGAAATTCCTAAGAGTTCTTCCAATAGCATGGAGTTGACTTCTTGCAGATCCATATCCTGAATTTATAAAAATAAATAAATGTTGAATGAATATAAAATCGTGTTTTTCTTGCCTTCATACAGTCTGGTGCCATATCCTTAATTTGTCTGGGTCTTTTAATAATTTTTAACACTTCTTTCATCAACTGTACTCGATCATCCAAATAATGAGAAAGTTCATGTTCACTACCCTCATCAGTATCACTTGCGGATTCGATGAGTTTGGAAAGCTTTTTCTCTTTCGATGATTTTGCTTTGGGCCTGTGTTGCCCCCTTTCAGAATTTTTATAGTAATTGCGACTTTGACTAGAGCTCATCTTGGATAATTTAATTTTCTAGATTTTGCTATAAGATCGAGTCATTCCAAACAATCCTTTGAAGATTCATAAATTCAAAACAAAATTAAATGAAAAAACCTAACAAAAACATAACCTAAAAAAATTTACGTCACTGTCAGAAACTATCGATATTTTAGACGTATCGATATAGGGTAATCCAAACAAAATGGCGGCCAATGCCAAAAAATTGGCGCCATAGATTTAATTCAAACAACCGTGACATTTTTCATCAAAAACCTGTTTTTTTGTGTATTTTGTGGTGTTTTAAGATGATTTCCTAGTGCTAGAACCAAAACAGATTCTAAACAGTTTTCAAATACCAACAGCAGAATACGTTTGGTAAACTCTTGATTCTGCTGAACGATTCAACTTTTCAATGATACAACGTCACCCTCTGAAGGTCATGTCACCACACCACGCAAAACAAGTGTTTAAAACTAAGCTGCTTTCCGGTGGGCAATTTTTCGCGAGGATAATCAAGCATACCCGAGTATGCTGGATTATGTGATGTGTCAACTGTGTCATACTCCCCTAACTCCCCCACCACCAAATACTCGAGGATCAAGAGCACTTAATTTCTCCTGTGAAAACAGACCGAAAACTACCTTTTTCTACTGACGTTTCATAATAGCAACTTTTCGATTGTCATTTCAGTTTTGAAACGACATTCTTTTAGGCACTGAGTGCGTGAAAGTTACTTTTAGGCACTCAGTGCGTAAAAGTGACTTTTGAATGCGTAAAAGTGACTTATGAGTGCGTAAAAGTAATTTTTAAGCACTAGTGCCTAAAAGTGTCATTCATTATTCAGAAATAAAAAACACACTAAACACATATTTGAATTTTGTTTTGTATTTATTATGAATATTGAAAATGGAATTACTGAATTGAACGTTTGGGTTACTCAAAACAGAACTTTGTGTTATTACCTACTTTCTAGGATTTTAATTATTGATGTCGAATTTTCAAAAGAAAATCGCATGAAAAGTGTCAGGTGGCAAGTAAAAGCAGGTAACAAAGATTTTGGGTGTAATCGACTTATTCACATGAAATAAAATTGTATTTTTTTATTATAAAATGCCAGTAGAAAAAATCTTGTATACAATACGTTACGAAACGATGTCTTTTAGTCACTCGACGTGTTGTCCAACTCGGCTTTGCCTCGTTGGACAATTTTCACATCGCGTGCCTAAAAGACGCTCATTTCGTAACTTATTGTATAAATAGCTATTTCTACATTTAAAATCGACGAAAAAAAATAACTTATTAGGACAGCATGAATCGCAAGCATTCCATCGAGGTCTACGGGTGACGTCATCACTATAAACTGCTGATAGTGACGTCACTCGCAGGCCCAGAATTTGATGGGAAGGGAGTTAAGACTGAAGACACAATACAAATACAAGGTGCAGGTGACAAGAGACAAAAATATAATAACATGTGTATTGATGCTATAGGGGGTCTTTGTATAACCCAGAATAAATGGATACAGGAACAAATTTACTTGCCGCGCCAAGATACAAAATTTCGATTTGTTATTTTGTATCTGTCACTTGTATCATGTATTTGTCATTGTTTCTTCAGCCTAAGGGAATATAACACACTTGACACATCACAAAACCCAGCATAATCAAATTATGCTCGATTATCCTCGCGAAAAATTGCCTTTATGGGAGCATGACGCTCGAAGCTATACGTACGGTCGTACACTGGAACGCCCAAATAAAATTTTGAAACGACACGCTGCGTCACGCCTCAACCTCTCAGCTGTGACATCGTGGCTATTTCGGTACAAATTTAGTGCGAGGCGCTTCCGTAGTGCTCTAATGTGCATACTAGAGCTCTCTAAACACTCTTAAATTATGCTTGCAAAAATGGCGACCGTTCGCAAAATATGTTTGGTTTCAACACAAATTCAACGAGGTGTACAGCAGAACCACAAAGCGTTTACCAACGTTTATATCTGGTGAACGCGGCCAATATTAGGCCTATGACGCAACATAATTTTAACAGCAACGTTCAGTTGTCTGTCACTGTTTATTATATACGTCAAAATAGAGACAGGTATAGGTATAGATGTTCAGCTATAACTTAAACCGAATTTTCGTGACAAACTACTTTCATGATTTCATGAACACAAACGCTTTCGCGAAAAACTCCATGATGTCATATTGAACGTAGTTCGACAGAAGCATGGACGCAGCTTCTAGCGTTCAAACTCATGACGTCACAGACGAACTATGGTTCGTCCTTGGATGAACTACATTCGTCACGAAAATTCGGTTATAGCTGTTAAAATAAGAGGATATTAGGCCAGAGCTTAGGTGTCATATTGAACGTAGTTCGACAGAAGCATGGACGCAGCTTCTAGCTAGCGTTCAAACTCATGACGTCACAGACGAACTATGGTTCGTCCTTGGATGAACTACACTCGTCACGAAAATTCGGTTATAGCTAGGGCTGCCATCCGTCCGGATTTCCCCGGATTTGTCCTAGTTTTAAAGGCGTTCGGGGAATCCGTCCGGGGGGATTTTTTGAAGTTATCCGTGTTTTACGCTTTACGGCATCTTGAAAAAAATCACGAATAACTCCGCGAAATTGACAAGAATCATGGAAATCGTCAATCGACATCATCAGCTTTATTTAGCCCGCGTGTGCGCGACTCAAGTTTCACGTTCACGTGTCGTTAGTCATGTTTGGAGCTCGGTGAAAGCTATAAAAAACCCCAAAAAAATGATTTTTTTGTCAAAATAATGAGTGGTTCTCGAAGGCTTGAAATAAACTTTTTTGGGCGTGGCACCAAAGGTGGGCTACCCTTTAGTGGTGTCCGGGTTTGAGGGGTTAGAATCCGGGGTTTTTGTAAAAATTTTCCTAGGTTACAAATTTCATATATGGCATATTAGGCCAGAGCTTAGGTGTTTTCTTTGCGTCTCAAAGTTTTGAAACATCTTTCAAAACTAGTTTAAAACAATTTCACAATGACGTCATAACTGCTCGGCGCGAGAAAATGGTTTTAAAACGTGGTTTGAAATGTATTTCGAAACAGGGTTTGAACCAAGGTTTGAACCAATTTTGATGTCAAGTCATGGGTTCACAACTCTGAGGCGGGATTCTGTAATGGGTACAAATTTTTATCCCTATATCGCTATGGCACTTGCTGTCTGCTTCTCTCTTTTTGAAATCAACAGAGAGAGGACGAGAGTGAAAATATCTCTATCATTACAGAATTCCACTCACTCTGATCGAGCTGTTTTCTGGCGTTACCTTTTTTGAAACTACAGTACAACATTGATAATCCGAACATGCGTTAATCCGAACCTCCGCTAATCCGAACATTCCGAACAACGAATGCTCGAAGGCATAATCCAATCGACGACAGAGATTTCTAGAAGACACTCAAAATGGAAGCGGATCAGAAGAAGAATCTGAAGAAATCGTACCAACCTACGTGACTCACAAAGAAGCAGTAAAATGTTTTCAGACTGGTTTGGAATGAACAGGACAAACATTTTTTTTCTAAAAGAAATGAAAAAGAAGGCAGAAACGGGAGAAGCAGCTACAATAAGGTAATTCGAATAGACCTCAGCAAATAATTAGTTCAGATTATCAACGTTGTCCTGAGTTCAAAACAGGGTTTAAGTATATTCTCGCGATGAACCCATGATGTCATATCAAAATTGTTTGCGAAATACAATCCAATCATTCCAATCCACGTTTAAAACCATTTTCTCACGCCGAGAAGTTGTGACGTCATTGTGAAATTGTTTTAAACTAGTTTTGAAAGATGTTTCAAAACTTTGAGACGCAAAGAAAACACCTAAGCTCTGGCCTAATATCCTCTTATTTTAACAGCTATAACTAGGGCTGCCATATATGAAATTTGTAACCTAGGAAAATTTTTACAAAAACCCCGGATTCTAACCCCTCAAACCCGGATACCACTAAAGAGTAGCCCACCTTTGGTGCCACGCCCAAAAAAGTTTATTTCAAGCCTTCGAGAACCACTCATTATTTTGACAAAAAAATCATTTTCAAAAAGGTTTTAAAATATTTGAGACAAGAATAATACTAATAACACATGTACACACTACTACAGGATTGATTGCTTATATCGGCCTCATTTTTGGTAGGCGTAGTCATATAGTGTAGCACCATTGCCGACGTCATTGAGTAAGTCTTCAGCTGTTTGCGCCAGCGGTCGTTGTTTAAAATTTAAATTTATGATGAATATTATTTAATTTTGACTAACACTTCGGTACACCAAAATCTAACATTTGTCCAGTCTGTGAATGCAAAATTTCCCCCATAAACAAAGAGGAAGACGCCAATAAGGTAAAGTTCATTTCACAAGGGTTTATACTTTTGAATCGAAGACGTATTAACTTGAAAAAAAAAGGGTTGTTGTAGATTAATTTATATGACACATTCAATTTTTTTGACAAATTCGGCAATTTTTCGCGAGAATAATCAAGCAATCTGATTTATGCTGGGATATGTGATGTGTCAGTAGTGTCATACTCCCCTAACGACGTTACTCGCAGTCCTAAAATTTGATGAGGACCGAGCATTGGGACCGAGTTAGGCAAGGATGATACACACTACTGCTACAGGATGGCCAATCCTCATATGGCATGTGTGTAATTATCCTCGCGAAAAATTGCCTATTAAAATGAATGGCTGCGTTCACCAGAACCAGAATGGAATGTAAACAGTTTACAAATACCACCAGAATACGTTGGGTTAACTCTTCGTTCTGCTGAACGATTCAACTTTTCAAAATGATAGAACCTCCTCCTCTAAATTTCATGTCACCTCAGAAAACACAGAGTGTTGAAAATTATAAAAACTCTAATTTATGTTTGCAAAAATATGGCGACCGTTTGCTGCTTGGTTTTAATACAAATTCAAAACGTAGCGTTCAGCCGAATAATCTACAGTGGCTAAATAAACCTTTACATACAGTGGCGACAATAGAGGTCCCGCCGCCATCTTGTTCCCAACCTCTTGTTACTTTTAAATATTAGTATATAGGATTTGAATGAACATCTATCATAAAAAATTGAAATCGACGTATTTGATGACCATTATTAGGTCCATCAAATACGTTGTTTTCCATGATTTATGATGGATGTTCACCTAAATCCCATATATTCATATTTAAAAGTAACAAGGGGTTGGGAACAAGATGGCGACGTTTTTAATATAAATATATGGGATTTTAGAACCAATCAAAAATGAGACAGCAATTGTCGCCACTGTGGGTTATAGAGTCACTGTAGAATAATCGTAAAGCGTTTTACTAACGTATGTATCTGGTGAACGCGACCAATGACTTCTGGCTTAAAAACCAACGAACGTTTTTAACGTCATTGATTTGTTTCAGTCAATTTGTATGTGTTAAAAAAGGAAAGCAAATTATATCAAAAGTATGGACCCTCGTGAAACAAAGTGCGTTTTCTTTTATTCACCAATGCATCCATCTACTGCCAGCATTATGAGACAGCCATTCCGATTTTCTATGAACTAGACAAAGATAGGCTGGTCATTGATGGATCCACCGCTGAATAAAAGAAAGCGCCCATAGTATGCATAAAGCAAAAGCCCACGGAATCATAACCTGTGGTGCAAACACCCTACGCCAGGCTAAGAAACGACACGCTGCCTGCGTCATCACTGGTGCTTTGGCATGGTGGGGGATTTGCAAGGGGCATTTGGGGTTAACAAAAATGACGTTAGATTTTCAATTTTGCAAGATTTTATTGATACATATGGATGTGACAAGAGCCGCTTTCCAGCTGTGTGCTTCAAGCACGGTGCAGCACAGTGTTCTGTGTTTGAAACGCAAATGTTAGCAGTTCTTGAAGCGCAGTACGGCTGGAACACGAACACGCGCTTGAAACATTTGCGTGCGCAAAAGCTCGATTGCGTGCTCAAAAGCGTCAGCTGGAAAGCGGCTAAGGTCGTATCGATATATGTATTGATCTACGTATATGCACCATCATCGAGAACGTATCGATAAGCCTTCCTCTGGGTTGAGAGAAAAACAAAACTTGAAGAGCCTTTTCAACAGTTAAATTTCTATTATTAGAATCAGTGTTCCCTTTTATTTATTTGATAATGGTTTAGAAAGAGAAAAACGAAGCCACTCTGCCCATATAGCTGGTTTCGACTATTCAACTCGAAGTTGGAGTGGACTCGGCCGAGCATTTTTTTGTCAATTATTGCTCTTGAGTGAAGGTAGCGTTGAAGTATACCAGTAAATACTGAAACATTTTGAGCAAAAAAAGTCAAAGACCTAATAACCAAACTCCTAGTTTCATTTAATCGACTCCGTATAGCAGGACGTGCCCATTTTTACTCTATTTACGCAAAAAATCGACACCAGAACATTCAGAGTGATTAGGGAGTATTGGAAAGGCACGGAGTGAGCAAGCCGAGCCCAGCTCTAGTTCCATGTTCCATTCAATAAACGTGAATCTGTCAAAGTGGAAAGGGAACCAATAGCGACAAACGTAAACGTCATCTCAAATCAAACAAAAAATTATTTACAAACAAAAAAGTTTCATGTTTTCTCCATAATAATAATTTAAATAGCAATTTTTAATTATTCAAAATTAAAAATCGATAGTTGGTTGGGGGAATAATAATCAATTAAACTAATAGGGTTGAATATTTATTTATCGAAAAAAAAAAGGGTTTGTGGGGTAGCATGCGCACTTCTCCGAAGGATCTCTCACAAAGGCTGATCGAAAAGGAGAGAAGTTCGCTGTATTACTTCTGTCAGTCAGTCAGTAATCAGCTGTAAATCGGTAATAATGGCATAGAAAGGGGCCCGTTTGGGTGTATTTTTTAGTGCCGTCGTGCTTTATATCCGGACGAGACAATGTTTAGTGGTTGTGCTGGTGTTTTTGTTATACTTTTGCTTCTCATTCTTCATCCCATTCAAAGTGGTAAGTTTACTTCGGCTCAGCTAATCTTTTTAAATATTCTGCTGTCCGAATGTAGCTATACATTTGCTTTGTTCTTTGAGGAGAGTCTGAGTCTGATGACCTCTTATTTTATTATAAATTTGCATGATAATTATTGACTTCGAACACCCTTAATAGTCATAATGGTTTATGACTTGATTTATGTTGTCCAGTTGAAATATACTGTTTTATATTATGTATATTCAGTTAAGTATGCATTCAGTATATTTTTTTCTGAAAATCCTTTAACCTGATTTGTATCCTCGTTTGTATCCGTAAAGCAGCTTTGAATCTGATCAGTAATTATTTAAGCAATCGTTACCATTTAACAAAATTGGGCAATATAAAATCTAATAAAATAGCCAGTGATTATGGTGTACCTCAGGGTAGTGTTTTGGGCCCATTGCTGTTCATAATTTACATTAATGACTTATACAGTGTATGTAAAAACTCTCTGGTCAATCTTTTTGCTGATGATACAGTAATATCTGTAGCTGGAAGTGATTTTAATGTGATATCTGACACCATGAATGTTGAGCTGGGCATTCTGTATGACTGGTTGTGTGCAAACAAGTTAAAACTCAATGCTAGTAAAACTAAATATAAGTATGTTATTTGGTTCTAAAACTAACTGTGCAAGATGCCTATCTAGTAATCTTGAAATTAGTATTAACAGGGAGCCTATAGAGTATGTGAAAGAGATTAAATATCTGGGCGTTATTTTGGACGCTCAATTGACCTTTGCCAGTCACGCAGAATACTTATGCAAAAAATTGGGGAAAAAGGTTGGTTTTTTTAGACGTATTTCTTTGAATTTGTCACAGTGGTCGAAAATGTTGATTTACAACACAATTGTGTACCCCCACTTCACCTACTGTATATCACTTCTGCTTGCATGTCCCAAGGAGCAAATATGTAGATTACAAATACTGCAAAATAAATGTATGAGAATAGTTTTGGGTTGCAACAGGTATACTGCCATAAGTAGAATGATGGAACAATTGAAGTGGCTATCAGTTGAGCAGGGTATTAGAAGGGCGAACATGTTATTTGTTTATAAGATTGTAAATAAAAAAATTCCAGAATATTTGTGGAAAATGGTTGTCACCAGATTCGAAATTCACTCGCGAATGTTACGTTCAAAAACTGATTTAAATGTTCAGTTTGTTAATAGAAACTTTTTGCAAGGCTCACTATTTTCTGAAGGCATTCGCCTTTATAATGCCTTGCCCGACGAAATTAAGAATGTAAATACAATTGGTTTATTCAATAAACGTTTATGTGATTATTTGAGAGGCGAATAATTAACTTTAAATTAAATTAACTTATTATAAATTGTTATATTATATATTGTTATGTTTGTTTACTAGCTTTTGCTAAATAAAGATTTACTTACTTACTTACTTACTAATACAATATTCCTTTGTAATCCTTCAAGCAGTGTTTATAACACTGGCATCAAGGATACTGGTTAGTACAGCTGTACACAATATAGCCACCTACCTTTTTCTAATCCTTAAGAAGACTAGAATTAACAAAAAATATATAGGTATGCTAGATTATTCATGTAAATTCCAATAAATATAACAGATTCAGCCCTCCAAACAACAACAACCTGTATATTTTCTGGTAAAGTGATAGTTTAAACTTTTTGTAAATGCTCTGAACCTAGACTTTTTTAGTCTGGCAAACTGTTTGTGTGTACAATTTTCTTCTTAAACAATTTCTTTATTCTTTTCAATCTTTATAAACTTAACAAGGAGTATGAAAGACAATCTTCCAATCCAATCTTGCAAACTTTTAAGCAGTGTATGCAACACTGGTAATGAAGTTAACCAAACTTAAGAAATAATAGGTCTGTCCCAACATGAGAACCGTTCTAGAACAGTAACTTCCAGTTGCCCACCTATTTTTCAGTAAGTTGGATGTTTATCCTAATTGACAAATGAATTGATCAACTGGAAATTACCGTTATAGAACGGTTCTCATGTTGGTTGGAACAGACCTAATAAAAATATGAAGGTGTAAATCACCTAGGAATTATTGTCACCAGCCTGGGGAAATACAGGGAAATATTAGGTATTACGGGGAAATATAAGAAAATAGGTACATTGCAACATGGGGAAATTTAAGGTATTATTAATGCTAACTACAGAGAATCATGCAAACCTCTGTTTAAATCCAAGAAAATCTTAACCATCACTTGTTTGTATATTTTAGAAACAGCAAGTCTCATTTATACTCATCGCAATGACTTTGTCCAGCCTTCTACTAGCTATGGCTATAGTACAAGATCTACCCAGCAAATTAACCTACAGCTTCCTATTCCGAAATCTTCGCTTGTTCATAAATCAATACATTATAATGGTATAAAGGTGTTCAACCATCTACCATTATCTGCTGCCTCTACCGACCGCCAAGTAACACCGATTACCAAAACTTTTTCGCGACATTATCCGAAAGCTGTGATAGTATACAGTCAAACTATCCACAGGCGAAAATTGTCTTTTTAGGCGATTTCAACGTCCACAATAAACCCTGGCTGAAACACCACAACAAAACAGATAACGAAGGCAGAGAAGCAGAAGCTTTTGCCATAAGTTGTGGTCTAACGCAGCTTGTCGATGAACCTACCCGTATCTCAGAAAGGGGCGAATTTGCAGCGCTTTTAGACTTGTTCCTAACCACCAATCCTGACTCGTACACAATTCAAGTAGATGCTCCACTTGGTTCGTCCGATCATAAACTTATAATAACAAAGTGCGAAATGCTCATCCCACCAAGCCTACAACCACTTCCTCGTAAAATGTGGCATTATAAATCGGCAAAATGGAATGACCTAAAACAGTATTACCTAAAACAGTATTACCTGGATTTTCCGTGGCAAGAGGTTTGCTTTAAAACAGCTGATCCCACTATTTGTTGTAATGAAATAACACAAGTAATCTTATCTGGAATGGACGCATATATCCCACATTCAACTAAACGTAGAGCTAATGCAAAACCTTGGTTCAACAGCCAGTGTCAAACGGCTGTACAGAAAAAACACAGAGCATATAACCTTTGGAAACGACAACAAACCGCTCAAAACCACACAGAATTTATAGAAGCCAGAAATAGTTGCAAAATGACTATTGACTCCGCTAAAGAAACATACAATCAAAGAATAAAAAACAGGTTGCTGAATTGTCCAAGTAGTTCTAGGTCTTTTTGGTCTCTTGCAAAAGCTGTTGGATCTAACTTCACCAAGTCATCCATACCACCACTTACAGATAAAAATAATCACTTAGCCACAACATCAGAGGAAAAAGCCAATATGCTTGCCCAAATGTTTTCCTCCAACTCCAACCTAACAGTGCCAAACAGAAAAACTCCACCGTTCATTGAAAGGGTTTCCCATAGTATGCCAGAGGTACCCTTTTGTCACAGAGAAATACGAAAATCCCTAAAAAAGCTGGATACAAACAAAGCAATGGGTCCGGATGGCATTCCCGCAATAGTACTCAAAAATTGCGCCAACGAACTCACCCCAACTTTTGCAAAATTATTCAATTTGTCTTACAGGCAAGGAGTATATCCATCATCATGGAAGTCTGCCGCAGTACAACCCATTCCAAAGAAAGGAAAAAAGACAGATCCGTTAAACTATAGACCAATTGCTCTACTTCCGGTGATATCAAAAGTAATGGAAAGAGTTGTGAACAATCACCTAACCAAGTACTTGGAAAAGTACAAAATTATCAACGATAAGCAATACGGATTTCGAAAATATAGGTCAACTGGCGATTTACTTACATACGTCACTCACTTATGGCAAAAAGCGATTGAGTTGCGGGGTGAAACAAGGACAATTGCCTTAGATATATCTAAAGCATTCGACAAAGTTTGGCATGAAAATCTGCTCAACAAGCTCAAAGCAATAAGAATAAAGAATAAACGTTATTAACGGACAAGCCATTTACAGTAAATAACATAATACAAAAATATATGAGGTTATAATATTAACGAAAAACACAAGAACTTAAAATTTAACATTTACGGTACATATAAATACACTGACATTTAGCGCTGCAGACTATTTAACAAATGTTTACAAGTTTTCAGAGACATGCCAAAAAAATCAAAATTGTTGGGTAGCTGATTAGCTTCTCTGCATATTCTAGCCATAGGGCAGAAAAAACCATAATTAGTCCTATGATACTCGCTATGAAAAAGATGCACTTGCCTAGTCTGTCTCACAGGGGCATGCAGGGAAATGCTGTTCAACAAAGGGGGACAGTCAATTAAGTTATTAAGCAACTTGAAAAGTAAACAAATATCATAATTCCTTCTACGTGCCTCTAAACTAGAAAGACCCAGCAACCGCAACAGGTCATTGTAGCAGACCTCTTCTGATGGTATATGCATCTTATAGGCAATATACCTTAGAAACCGTTTCTGAACTCTCTCAACACAATTTATATGGACCCCATAATGTGGTGACCAAATTGGGGTAGCATATTCCAAAAGGGATCTCACTACAGAACAGTAAACGCTCCTTATAGTAAAAATATTATTAAAATCTTTGAGGGTGCGAAATACAAATCCCAAAAGTTTCATTGCCCTATTACAAATATTCTCAATATGTAAGTTAAATGTTAGGTCCTGTCTAAATGTAACTCCCAAATCCTTAATAGAGTCCACTCTTTCAACTACTTGATCATTTAATTTGTATTCATAAAAAATTGATGCATGAGATTTAGAAAAGGTTATGGTTTTACATTTATTTAAATTAAGGATTAGGTCATTCAGGTGACACCACAGAGCAAAACAATTCAGGTCTAGTTGTAACTGCTTACAGTCTGATATGCACTTAACAGGCCTATACAACTTCAAATCGTCTGCATACAACAATATCTCACTGTGATGGATAAAATCTTCAACATCATTAATATAGCAATTAAATAGCAAGGGAGAAAGATGTCCTCCTTGAGGAACACCAG